TTGCACTAAAGATTCCTCCACTAGACTATGTTCCAAATAAAAAAATCTTAGTATATTAATTTTACTTTTGAGCTCGATCTCCATGACACTTCAGTATATATTTTTAAATATATGCCATTGTTTTTCTAAGATCCTACGGTTCTTTTCTTTTATTCTGCTATAAATGAAATTTAGAGGCTGAATCAGCAAAATTTATTTTAGAAATTTCCATTTTGTTAGCTGGTAACAGTAAAAAGAAAATTCTTTAGTATTCTCTTCAAACAACATTGAAAGAAATATGAACTGTATGAAATTAGGGAATACTTCAGCATATCTCTAGGATTTAGGGGACTATCCTATAAATTAGCAAAACCCAAACTAAAATTTTCATTGTGAAATTTTCCATATTTTGAAGAACCCCAAAATAAAGAATCTTTAATTTTTAAACTCACACATAACCATAGCTTAGTTCTTTATACCTAAATCACATATAGTAATGAAGCAGGGTGTCTAGGTTGTCCTAAGTTAACTCCCTTTGGATTGTAATACTTGAAATAAAATATATTTACATTAGTCATTAGGGAAACGCAAATTTAAAATACAACTTCATACTTACTAGATGGCTATAATAAAAAAACAAACAATAACAAGAATAGACAAGAATATGCTGTGAAACTGGAACCCTCATACACTGCTGATGGGAATGTAAAAAGTCATGCAGCCACTTTGGAAAACAGCCTGGGAAGTGCCTCAAAGGGTTGTACATACAGTAACCATTTGACATAGCAATTCACTCCTAGATATATATCCCAAAGAAATAAAAACATACATCCATACAAACACTTATACACAAATGTTCATTTCCAATATTCATAACAGCCAAAAAGTAGTAAGTACCCACGTCCATAAATAGACGAAATGTGGTATGGCCACACAATGGAATATTATTCAGCAATAAAAATTATTACTGATATATGCTGGAACATGGATGAATCCTGAAACTGTTATGCTAAGTGAAGGAAACCAGTCACAAAAGAACACATATTATGTAGTTCTACTCGTGAAATGCCCAGAATACACAAATTTGTAGACAGAAAACAGATTTGTGGTTGCCTAGGGCTGTAGGGGATTGAGATTTGAGGTTAATGGCTAAAGGATGAAAACTTTCTTTTGGGGCTGATAAAAATATTCTAAAATTAATTGTGGTGGTACTTGTACAAACCTGTGAATATACTAAAAGCCACTTAATCATACACTTTAAGAAGGTATATTGTATGGTATATGAATTATATTTCAATTAAGTTTTCTAAAAAGTATATTTGGTTCCTAAGTATTCCCTTAAAGCATAAACATAAGCATTCAAAAATATCAGCCAAGATAGATAGATAGATAGATAGATAGATAGATAGATAGATAGACAGACAGACAGACAGATAGATACATAGATGATAGATTTTTTTTTTTTTTGAGATGGAGTTTCACTCTTGTCACCCAGGCTGGAGTGCAGCACACAATCTCGGCTCACTGCAACCTCCGCCTCCAGGTTCAAGCAATTCTCCTGCCTCAGTCTCCCAAGTAGCTGGGATTACAGGCACTTGCCACCACGCCCAGCTAATTTTTGTGTTTTTAGTGGAAACGGTTTCACCATGTTGGCCAGGCTGGTCTTGAACTCCTGACCTCAAGTGATCTGCCTGCCTCAGCCTCCCAAAGTGCTGGGATTACAGACATGAGCCACCATGCCCGGCCCAGCCTTGATATTTTAGGCACGCCTGCAAGAAATCTAGTTAAATTCAGTAACAACCATAGTGAGTTTTCAAATGGTTGTTGGTGATCATTCTAAACTATGAGCTGCATATCACATATACATATTTTACATCTTAAATGAACATGTATTAGATAAAGAATATCTGACCTGTTTAGTTCTCTTAGCCATGAGAGCTGGACTGTTTGTAATGCTATTCCCAGTAGGGTGTCTACTAAAACAAAGTTTCAACTCCTGCGGTCTGTCAAAAAGCTTAAGGTCCAGTCTTGGAAAGTATTTGTAACTAAAATAAAAAGCAAAAATAGAACTGCTGATTTAAAATACATCAACTCTTCATATTATTCCAGCATTTAGGCAAGTATTTCTAAACCTCAAATAATACCCAACATTATTTTAAAGGCTTATATGGAAAAAATACTTTTTCAAATGATATAACATAGAGACTATCTTCATGAAAATTTTGTCTCCTCTCCACCCTATCTGTTATTTTCAATCAATTTCTAAAACACAGAAAACTCTTATATCTTACTTAAAGGGGGAAATAACTCTTTGAAGAGAATCCATGTGTTCAATAATTTATGTTTAAAAAAATTTTAGTACGCTTTGTGTACTAAATTCAGTACACTTACATTTTAGTACACTTACTATTTAGTACACTTATGTTTTCCTTCATAAAATTGCCTTGCATCAGTATTTAAATTTTAAAAATCCATAAAATTTTTATTTTAAGGATGTACCACAATTTGAGCAGTTTTTCACTGCTGGACATTATTAGGTTGTTTCTAAATTTCTCCAATTAAATATTTTCATATGTATATCTTTATGAATACTTCTGCTTACTTTCTTAGGATGAATACCCAATAACAGAGTTTGCTAGGTCCATGTTTATCAAAAGAATTAAAATTATTATAATTACTATCAATTTATTTCCAAAAAGATTATACTTGAACATATATTCTAACTACTAGCATAACCTATTTGCAATCTCAAAGGTTTCTATTCATCATTTTGGTTTGCATTTCTTTGAATGAAAAAAAGCAAAACACATTTTTATATTATTGACTTTGGATTTCTTCTTGGAAACTGTCTACTTATTTCCTTTGCCAATTTTCTGCCAGGAAATATTGCCTTTCCATATTTGATTTTATCTTGTTTGTCAATATCTGGATTCCAATTTCTAGCAGTTAAGCCAAAGTAGAAAAGAATTCTATAGTTAACATGAAATCAAAATTGTATTTAATTGAGCCACTCAATCCCAGACATATTCTTCATTCTGATGCAGTCCTATTGATATTATATATTAATTCTCTATTTTAGGAAGGTACTTAATTTATTTTCCATTTTAGAAATTATTTTAGAAACACAGCCTAAGAAAATAACTGTATATGCACATAAAGGTAGATGGCAAAGAATTACAAACAAATCCGTAAGAGGCTAAATAAATCATAATAAATGCATACAATGTAGTCATTACAAATGATAAGGCACAAAAATATTTAATGGCATGGGAAAACGTTCAGACCACTAAAGGCAAACGCAGATTACAAAGAGAATCTACCAGATGAACTCATACATGCAATACACACACACATAAATCCACATGATACACACATACCTACAATTGTTAAAAGACACAAGTATTGATGCTAGAATGATGTATCAGTTTTCTCTTTTTGTTTGATTTTCTTAGATTATAGTAATAAAAAATAATAAAATCCATTCTAATTTCTTAAAAGTCACATCCAAATCCTATCCTTTATTTTAATAAAGAATAATTCCCGGGCCGGGCGCGGTGGCTCACGCCTGTAATCCCAGCACTTTGGGAGGCCGAGGCAGGTGGATCACGAGGTCAAGAGATCGAGACCATCCTGGTCAACATGGTGAAACCCCGTCTCTACTAAAAATACAAAAAAATTAGCTGGGCATGGTGGCGCGTGCCTGTAATCCCAGCTACTCAGGAGGCTGAGGCAGAAGAATTGCCTGAACCCAGGAGGCGGAGGTTGCGGTGAGCCGAGATCGCGCCATTGCACTCCAGCCTGGGTGACGAGCGAAACTCCGATTCAAAAAAAAAAAGAATAATTCCTGGCCCTCTATCTTAAGTTTTCCCAGTAAATTACTAATTCATAAAAACTTCACAATCTCTGTATCGACAATAAAACTCCCAAAGGGAGAGGGGAATCTCATAGAAGTAACATTTTTATTCTTCAGAATTGGAATTTTTAAAGGTTAAAATACAGTTAAACACTAATGTAAACAATGATCAACATGTGATAATGTCATCAAATTTTTAAATTATAACCCTAATGGCATTTCCATAAAATATTTATCTACATTAGTTTACTGAATTAATACTGAAAATGACTTTCATAAAAGACTAACATACATATCTACTAATAAAAATTAAAATAAACTAATAGGCTGTGCCTAAACAGATCTTTTAAAACTTCCTATTACCTGTACTTTGGTGACAGGTCCTTTCCATCATTAGGAGGTGGTTCTGGTGGCATAATAAATACAGTATGCTCACTTTTCTGTGAATCGTCTAGTTCTATCAATCTGGTATCTTCTGCTGAATCAAAATCAACCTGAAAATAATTATTTTCCTCAAGTAATTTGCATACAAACAAAATCTAATTCTGAAATTTCAATCCTTAAAGTCTGAGGAAAACATACCTTATCTGTTTTCTCTGTGCCTTTATCAGGAAACAACTAGAAAATAAGAAAACAGACACTTAATGAAAATGTTCACTATGAATTTAACAGACATTTTTATCTTATGTTCTGATTTAGAAAAAAACTACCCCTTTTCAGTATCGGCTGATACAAAACATTGCACAATATATTTTTAAGCTAAATATATACTCAGGCTAAAGCATAATTTTTTACTTGTGGTTATTAGGATAGAAAGCTATTTTGATTAGCTCTTTTGTAAACCTTAAGACAAAAGATAACCAATCACAAGGTTATCTGGCTTCTCAAAAAAAAAAATTTCATTATTATTAAGCTCCCTTATTAGTGATTGACATTAAGCTTCTCATATAACTGGAATATAATGGAATATCAATTTTGTAAATAAACAAAAATCTTGAATAGTTTTAATTATATCCCTTAAGTTTTAGATCACACTGATCGGTGAAAATTATTCAAATCTTCTAAGGCATATGAATCATTAGGGGGTTATAAAATTAAAGTCATAATATTCTACTTTTTTTGGATACAATCTCAAATGTTATGTAATATATGGTTTCCATAAACAATAAGATCTACTTAGCAAAAAAAAGAATTCTATTAAAAGTTAGAAAAAACTATAACCAAGTCATTGCTGTCAAGAATCAATTTTAGGATGCGTAAGTAAAGCTTAAAAATTTAACATATTTCCATCATCCATTAGAACAAAAGAAATACATTAGCAAAAGGATTTGGAAAGACATTAAAACAAAATAACATAGGACTTCTATTACCCTTAAAACCATTTTTAATTAAAAAAACTAAATCTTAAACTGTTACTCATTTAAATAAAAAAAAAACATAAACTCACAAGGCTCAAGGAAATGTTCTCCATACTCAAGTAAATAAAATAAAATAAAACCAAAGTGAGATTTAACGAGAAAATTTACTGGCTCATCCTATAACCCCAAGGATTTAAGAAGCCAAGGCAGGAGGATTGCTTGAGCCTAGGAGTTTGAGACCAGTCTGGGCAACAGAGTCAGACCTCATCTCAACTAAAATCTAAAAAACTAGCCAGGTATGGCGCATGCCTATACTCCCAGCTACTCAGAAAGCTGAGGTGGGAGAATCACTTCAGCCCATAAGTTTGAAGTTGCAATGAGCTATGATCATGCCACTGCACCCCAGCTTGAGTGACAGAATGAGATTCTGTTTCAAACAATCGATCAATCAACAAAGAAGAGAAAAATTGGCTATATGTGGTAGAAACTTGATACCACAAGAGAAAATGATTCTTAAATTCAGCCCAGAATTGGTAACACATACACACCCCCATACTGTCTTCCTTAGATCACTCTAGACTAACAGTAACAATGATAATTATACAGGTAAGGCAAACTGTTTTTTCTAAACACTAATATAAGGACAAACTTTTACCTTTTCTATGCAATCATCAAAAAATGCTAATCCGGTATCTTTATCACTTACAAAACTGCATTCTTCAATGAAACGAATAAAAATCTGTGTTTTGGATAAAAGGGTATAGAATTTTGCATACGCACGATCTCGGCTTTTTAAAAATCCTGAGGAAAACGAAATTATAATTAAATTCAAATTTTAAACTGCAATTCGATGTTATAGTAAACATTAAACTTGTATTTATCTGTATTACGTTCTCTTTATATATATATCCACATTTAAAGAGAAGTTTCTAAAGGTTGAGTATCCCTTATCTGAAATGCTTGGGACCAAAAGTGTTTCAAAATTTTTATTTTTTTTAGGATTTAGAAATATCTGCATGTGCACACTCAGATATCTTGGGGACGAGACCCAAGTAAACAGAAAATTCATTTATGTTTCATATATATACATATTATACACACAGTCTCAAGGTAATGTTATACAATATTTTCAATGATCTTGTGCATGAAACAAAGTGTGTGTTAAGTTCTTACATGTACTTGAGTGAAATTTTCCACTTGCAGTATCATGTCAGCATTCAGAAATTTTCAGATTTTGGAGCATTCCAGGTTTTGGATTTTCAGATTAGGGAAGCTCAACCTATGGTAACTACATATATAGCTCCTTCTGCCTAATTAAACCATGAAAAATACTTAATTTGTATCCATGTCTTCACTGAAATCTGTATCCCCTATAAGAAACTTCCACCTCTGCAACTTTTAAGTAGAAATTTCTCTGATACTCTGCATACTCTTGAGTCCACAGTCAGTTTCCAAAGAGTCAATGTCCTTCCTCTTTAATGCTGTGAGACCATTGTTTCTGTACTGTGTTTTTAAAATTTCTGCTCACTAAAGATTCAAGCACCTGGGTATTCCACTGTTTCATCTATTAATTGTAGTCATCTATTGATTTCAGGGACATGCCTTCATTCTCTGAAGACCAAGGTATTTGATTCAAGGTCTCCTCCTTTCTAATTCCTACCACCATCATTCTTCCACACCCAGAAGCACAAACCATGAAAATACTTTGGATTTTTCATTCCTTGATTTTAGGTTTTCTTTTTTTTTTTTTTTTTTTTTTTTTTTCTTTTTTTGAGATGGAGTCTAGCTCTGTCACCCATGCTGGAGTGCAGTGGCGTGATCTCAGCTCACTCAACCTTCACCACCCAGGTTCAAGTGATTCTCCTGCCTCAGCCTCCCAAGTAGCTAAGATTACAAGCGCCTGCCACCACACCTGACTCATTTTTGTATTTTTAGTGGAGAAAGAGTTTCCCCAGGCTGGTCTTGAATGCCTGACCTCAGGTGATCAGACTGTCTTGGCCTCCCAAAGTTTTGGGATTACAAACGTGAGCCACTGCACCCAGTCTGTTTTAAGAGATGGGGTCTTGCTATGTTGAGAAGGCTAGTCTTGAACTCCTGGCCTCAAGGGATCCTCCCATCTCAGCCTTCCAAAGTGCTGGAATTACAGGCATGAGTCACCATGCCCTGCCCTCATTCCTTGATTTTCAATGATCCTATGCTCCATCCCACCTCAAGCACCAACTTCAACACATAGTCACAGTCTGTTGATTTTCCTTGCTAGCATTCAAAACAGCACTGCCTCCCGAATCTCTCATTTTCACATCACTCCCAGCCCATTACCTCTGCCTATGTGGTCTCCTTATGTAAGTATTTCTACTAAGTGTTTTAGAGTTTTGAAGGGGGGGGGCGGTGCAGAGAGGGAAGGCTCATTGAAATCTCCAGTCTATTGGACCTTTTACCTCTACCTACATCTTCCCTTCTTCACTTCTTTCCCTATCCCATACTGATTCCATGCTATATCCATAATTTCGATTACTTTTTTGTCAATACTCTCAACTCTTTTGCTCTTTTGTCTTTTTGGTTAAACCGACCTAGCATAACCCAGCTCTGGAGGAATGTACTGCCTGCTTTCTATGGATCTGCATTACGGTGGCTGAGTACAAGTTAAGGGGGAAAAAAAGTGACAGAACAGGACTCATCTCAAAAAAAAAAAGAAAGAAAGAAAAAACCTCCAATCAGATCCTTCCCTTTTTTCTGTTGTTTCACTTTTTCTTTTTTTTTTTTTTTTTGAGATGGAGTCTCACTCTATCTCCAGGCTGGAGTGCAGTGGCGCGATCTCGGCTCACTGCAATCTCCGGCTCACTGCAATCTCCGCCTCCCAGGTCCAAGCGATTCCCCTGCCTCAGCCTCCTGGGTAGTTGGGATTACACGTGCGTGCCACCACACCTGGCTAATTTTTGTATTTTTAGTAGAGACGGGGTTTCACCATGTTGGTCAGGCTGGTTGCAAATTCCTGACCTCATGATCTGCCCGCGTCAGCCTCCCAAAGTGCTGCGATTACAGGCATGAGTCACAGTGACCGGGTGTTTCACTTCTTAATAAAGGGCATGGCCATTCACTTAACTGTTAAGGGCAAAAGCCTCAAAGGTGCTCTTGATATCTCCCCCTCTACCTTATATTCCATATTCAATCAACAGGTTCTACTCAATCTAATTCCTAAAAAACTCGCTCTTCTAATCACACTATCATTAATTAATCCAGGTCACCTCTAATAATCCCTAGAACAAATGTGTCCACTTCCTAATTAGTAGATCCATGCTTCCATGTCACCAGTTCAATCTCTGTATGGAAGCCAAGGAAATTCTTTTTTTTTTTTTTTAACATTTCAAAGAGTAATTTTTTTTAAAAAATGCAAATCTGATTCTATTATCTAATGAAATATCTTTTACAGGCTTCCAATTACTCTTAGAATAAAACCTGAAACCAGCCCTAATACTAAAAGATCCTGTATAACCTGATTAATGCCACCACTTCAAACATGGTTTTCTCTGTAGCCTCTTTCTTTGGTGCTATAGTCCTCATTCCCATCCCTTTTAAATACTAATTAGTAGAGAAGAGCTTAAACAAAATAGAAATAAATTATTCTCCACAAGTTATAAAGAAAAGGCTTTCTTTCCGTCTAGTGGATCCAGGTAATGATCAGCAAAGGCTGCTACACCAATTAAGTCAAAGGCTGATGGGTAAACTATAATGAATGAATGATGCTGAAAATACTTTAAACCTATTAGGAACACTAAAAGTAGGACAGCCAGACATGTATGTGCTTCTCAAGATGATAGAATAGGAAGAAGTCAGCACCATGTATTTGGCACTTCTTGCCACAAGAATTAAACTTAATGTAATCAAGCCAATAGGTCTGCATTGTTTAATTCAGTAGCCACTACCTTCATACGGCAATTTAGCACTCGAAATGTAAATTAAGACACACTGTAACTAAAAAAATATATGCCAGAATTCAAAGACGTGGGCTGAGTGCAGTGGCTCACGCCTGTAATCCCAGCACTTTGGGAGACCAAGGCAGGAGGATCAACTGAGGTCAGGAGTTCAAGACTAGCCTGGCCAACATGGTGAAACCCTACCTCTACTTAAAATACAAAAATTAGCAGGGTATGGTGGTATGCACCTATAATCCCAGCTACTTGGGAGGCTGAGGCGGGAGAACTGCTTAGAGCTCAGGAGGCAGAGTTGCAGTTAGCCAAGATGGCGCCACTGTGCTCCAGCTTGGGCACTCTGTCTTTAAAAAATAAAAAAGATGTTTGTAGAAAAAGAAATGTAAACAATTTCATCAATAATTTAAAAAATCTGATTACATGCTGAAATGCTACTATTTTCCCCCTATTTTTTACTTTTTTATTGTGGCTACTAAAATAATTTTAAATCTTCTATGTGGCTTATATTACATTTCTAGTGAACATTGCAGCTCTTGAACCGTAAGTTTACAGGAAATACAAGTGGTAGAAGAAATGGTAAACAACATCAAGGATAAAATAAGCTAAAACCACATATATAAAATTCCTAGTTAATTCCTATGGCTTTTCTAGGCCCAAACTTAAAAGCAGAACACTAAAGGATGCCTTAGGACACTAATATTCCTTGTTATTTCTTCAAAAAATATTTCTCTTCAAGGAATATTTCTCCTAACTAGCACTCTCACTGTAACCAATACTTTCCTTCACAATACTCTTATTAAGATGTAGTTAGTATATATGCTATTTTATCATCTAATGTCTGTGTCCCCTAGTAGACCAAATGCTGAACTGTTTACAATAAAATCTTAGGCCTTGGAAACTGAGTTTCTTTCCAAATTCCTTTGGTGATGTCACTCCTGTACAATCTATACTCTTCATCTGCCATTTAAAACTACCCACAGCCTGAGCCCTAATCTTGTATTCAGTCTTATCTTCCACAGCACCTCTAAAGCTCATCACTCTGGTCAAATTGTACCATTTAATCTTTTTTCCTAAACATGCTGTTACGAGTGAAACGATGTCCTCCTCAAAATTTATATATATATATTTTTTTTTCTTTTTTTTTTTTGAGATGGAGTTTGTTTTTGTTGCCCAGGCTAGAGTGCAGTGACATGATCTTGGCTCACTGCAACCTCCACCTCCCAGGTTCAAGCAATTCTCCTGCCTCAGACTCCTGATTAGCTGGGATTACAGGTGCCTGCCACCATGCCTGCCTAATTTCTGTATTTTTAGTAGAAACGGGGTTTTGCCATGTTGGCCAGCCTGGTCTGGAACTCCTGGCCTCAGGAGATTTGCCTGCCTCGGTCTTCCAAAGTGTTGGGATTATAGGCATGAGCCACCACGCCTAGTCAAGAAAACTTTAATAAACTCCAGAAAGACTTTATAAATAACAAAGTAGAAATTCTAGCTCAGATTTGACTCTTAATGTCTATGGACCTCCAGAAAGCCTTTCCTGCTCTTCTCCATTTATCTTCATTCCACCCATTCTTCCAAGTCATGCTTCCTCCATGAAGTCTTTCAAAATACCCATTTTGAAATATTGTAATATTTGGAAGAATATCCCTTTTCTTTAAATCTTAAAACTTCCAAATTAAAATTGCATCAAATATGTTTTCTTGAGTACTTGACCTATTTTTAAAAAATTTTAATTATTTTCCATTTAAGATCCCATAGAGCAAGGTTTTATACTTCTTTATATTCCTACATAATAATTAGCCAGTAAGTGGTGACTAAATATTTAAGCCATAAGTTATCCTAAGGCAGAGAAGATAAAGGACAAAAGGATTATTAGGAAAATACAGATTTTTTTTTTTAAAGTAATCACTGGGTAAAAACAAAGAAAAGTAAAATAATTTCATATGAATATTGATATAGATGTAAGATTGCTCCTACATAGATGGCAGTAGCTGAAAAACAACAAAAGTCTCTATAATTTCCTAAAACAAAACATACTAAAATTAAGGAAGATATGTTTTTCCCTGGAACAAAGCTACACTAGTCAAAAATGTTTAAAATGTGGTGGCCTCAGTGCACACACTAATTGTAAAGCCAAGAGTGTACACATCTGGCCCAATGCAGTGGCTCACACCTATAATCCCAGCATTTTGGAAAGCCGAGGGAGAAGGATCACTTGAGGCCAGGAGTTCGAGACCAGCAAGTCTTGCTTAGCCAACATAGCAAGACTCTGCTCTATTCCAAAAAAAAAAAAGTATACAAACTAGGGAAATCACCAGTTATGTTCTACTAAGATAACTGACTACATGGTATTGTAAATATAGGCAACATCTCTGACTTTTCATAACTAAATATCTCTAGTTTCAAATTTCTCAGGAAAAAAGTGGAATACAAAAATGACAAGAAATTCTAGTCATAGAGCTAGGATACATAAACATGGAAGTTCATTATATTTTAATATGAATTTTTAATAATTTATACAATAAGTATTTCTTGGCAGCAACAACAAATATAAAATATTTTTCACTTCAACAAAAGGAATTGTATTTTCAATGCTACTCACCCTGTCGGTCAAATAATGAATCAGCAGCTGTGGCTTTATTTGAAGGAGCCTCTGTGATTGGTCTGAGGTATGCTCTATATCCTTTTAAAATAGATGCCATAAAGCGTAAAAATGCCTCTTGAATTTCCATCTCAAGCTGTGTCATCTTCTTTTGCCAGGAGAAATCTGCTTCAATTGGAGTCATGTCAATTGCTGAGCCTTCTTGAGTTTTTCGGTGAACTAACAAAGGAAATAAAAACAGAAAATGGTATTATTATGTTTAAATTTAAACAGAATTTTCTCCTATACATTCCTTCATCAACAATATTCCTTTTTTCTCACATTACCTGAAGACAGCTGGGGATACAATTTCTTTAATGTGCTAAGTAAATTTTTGCATGGCTTTTTGGGAAGTTGCTTCCAGTTCATGTTCTTCTTTTCATCTGATCTATTAAATCAGAATAAAATTCATAAAATTTGTTATTCATAATCTGCGTTTACTAAACAAAATTCTTGCGTCAACCTAAAACAAAAAAAATGGAAAAGATGTTTTTACTGAAGTTACAACTGATGCAAACGGTTTGAATATGTGATTTTCCAGGAAGTTATCTTTTTATTCAATCAACCTCAGTCAAATCTAGCCATCTCATTCTTACCCTTCAACATATATTTTCAATACTGGAGTTAGGAATACAACACTGAAGACTAACTTCAAAAGTTACATTTTAGAATTATGATATTGTAAGTGTCAAATCTAGTTGACTTGAGACTTCAAACTACTACTGGTAGGCTTCTAAAATGCTGTGTGCCAAAAGAGAAGAACTGGAATTTAAGTAAGGATTAAAAGTACATGTAGTTCGTCCAGCCCTCACAGTTAAAAATAAAATAATGAGAATACCATTATTCAATATAATCTATGATCATGAAACAATAAAAACCAAAGCCAGATTAGCCTGCCTGACATGGTTAGACCCTGTCTCTACTAAAAATACAAAAATTAGCCAGGTGTGGTGGTGTGCTCCTGTAGTCTCTGCTACTCAGGAGGCTGAGGCAGGAGAATCACTTGAACCTGGGAGATGGAGGTTGCAGTGAGCCGAGATTGTGCCACCACACTCCACCTTGGGCAACAGAGCAATACTCTGTCAAAAACAAACAAAAACAAAGCCAAAGCTATAGAAATGACCATTTTTAAAGGTATTACTAAAAGCTTGTTTCCAGAATTTTATATTCCAAAAATATAAAATATATACATATATATTCCAAGAATATAATATAAAATACAGCAGACACAACTGCCTGAAAAGCTATCTTCTTAAAAAAGTCAGCATAAATATAACACGTGTTCTTTAAAATTCATGGCTAAGCTGGTAAGAAAATTGGGGAAGTTTCAGTGGTCAAATACCCAGCATAAAACCAAGGCCACACCTGCCCTGAGAATTAAGAGAGGCTTGGATTTTAAAGACTTCTTAGAGAACAGAAGACAAAGTCTCAGTATTACCAAGAAGTATGTTAGAACTAAGACTTCCAAATAAAACGGGTACCCTTGAAAGGCTGGCTCAGCTTTGATTCTTTTTCTTTTTTTTTTTTTTGAGACAGAGTCTCACTCTGTCATCCAGGCTGGAATGCAATGGCACAATCTCAGCTCACTGCAACCTCGGCCTTCCAGGTTCAAGCGATTCTCCTGCTTCAGGCTCCTGAGTAGCTGGGATTACAGGGGTGCGCTACCATGCCCGCCTAACTTTTTATTTTAGTAGAGACGAGGTTTTACCATGTTGGCCAGGATGGTCTCAAACTCCTGGCCACATGTGATCCTCCTACTTCAGCCTCCCAAAGTGCTGGGATTATAGGCATGAGCCCCCACACCCAGCCAGATCTTTTTTTAACCCAAAATGCTACAATTCTAAGCCCTTTACCTAAGTCAGAAATTGTTTAGGTTTCACTAAATGTAGCATGGCATAATGAAAAGGGCAGAGATTCCAGCTTTAGAATCAATCCAGAACCCTGATTGTACCTTTGTATTAGCTGATTAATAATAAATTTAACTAATAAAAATTTAATTTTTAATAAAAAATTAAATGATTTTTAATCAGGTTCTATTTTGTATAATTTTTCTTTAGCACTCAGTGCAGTTCACATGTGGTTTTTTTTTTCCAAGCAAGTCATTGTATTTTGGAATCTTTTTATGCATACTTTAAATCTTTTATTTTAATTTAAAATATGTCAATTTTTTTAAATTTCAATAGGTTTCGGGGGAAAAGGTGGTGTTTGGTTATACGGATAAGTTCTTTAGTGGTGATTTCCGAGATTTAGGTGCACCCATCACCCAAGTAGTATACACTGTACCCCATATGTGTAGTCTTTTTTCCTTCAACCCCCTCCTACCCTTTCCCCCAAGTTCCCAAAGTCCATTGCATGGTTCTTTTTTTTCTCTCTTTTTTGAGAGGAAGTCTTGCTCTGTTCCCCATGCTGTGGTACAGTGGCACGATCTCAGCTCACTGCTATCTCTTCCTCCAAGTTCAAGTGATTCTCCTGCCTCAGCCTCCCAAGTAAATGGGATTACAGGCAAATGCCACCATGCCTAGCTAATCACTGTATCATTCTTATGCCTGCGTCCTAATAGCTTAGCTCCCTCAGCTTGGATTTTGATTGGAGGAAGGATCTCCCCTGAGAATTCATTACTATAAGCCTGCCAACTAATGGGTTATGAGTTTGACTGCATGCTACTGGCATGGTGCAAAAAAATTGTAAGTCAAAATAACTAACTTCAAGTGCTCCCTAACTTAATGCCACCAGAAAGGAAGCAAACATAATATCCTCTCTGTAAGGACAAATGTCTTATAAAAGACCTAACACTTCCTTTGTGCCTGATAGTGTTCAAAGATATATTTTAACATCTCTGAAACTGTCTTAGAAGTGATAGCCTGTCAAGTTTAACTCTGATCAATTTATCTAATTTTATGTAATCACTGTCTTAATATTTTAGTGCTATCTTTTACCACCCCCCAAATTAAATATTATCATTACTGTCTGGATTATCAACCATTTGTAACCTGGCCCTGACGTTTACCATCTGTGTGACTTTGTATAAATCACTTAACTACTCTGTTACTCAATTTTCTGACCTGCAAAATGAGGGCTGATAATGCACCTAATATACAGAGCTACTGTGAGTAGATGAACTGCATTTCATCTAATCTAAGTGGCCATCAATTGTAAAATTAATTGTTTTTGTACCAATAAGAGTTAGAGGATGTTGCCAATTAAAGTATTTTAAAGTCTACTTTACTGCGTGAAAGAGTAAAATATTAATTTTAAGCTCTAAGTACCCATATTAAAATATTAAGAGAAATCATTAAAGGAACATAAATGTGAAATTATATAAACACACACACATAACATTTAGGTAAGTAGATGGGAAAAAAACAGACTAATTCATTCAATCTGAAAGAGAAAAAAGTATAACAGCACTGAAAAAGCATAATGAAAAGGACAAAATAAGACAGAAATGTTCAAATATCTAACAATAAATGTAAATTAATGGATTCTACAATAAAAAGACAAATGTTAGATTAAATTTTTAATGCAGTTATATATTATACACAAAATATCTGAAATTAAAAGAATGGGAAAAGATATACCAAACATAACATAATACATCTAACATATTAATGAGAAGAAAAGAAAAAACTAACAAAAAGCATCAGTGATTTTTTTTAAAGTAGCTACAAGATAAAAGTATGGGTTTAACTGCAGAACAATTTTGAACTTGGGTGTCTCTCATAACAGAGCCTTAAGTACATAAAGCAAATGTCCAAATAACTATACAATGTAACTGACAAATCTAACATCACACTGGGAGTTTTAAAATTTTAATATGATCACACAGCTCAAAAATAAAACACATACATACACCCTTGTTCCACGTCTGCTCAGTTCCCTCACCCCCATAATACAACAATGACTAGTTTCTTGTGCATGTTTTAATGTTTCTTTATCTCAAAACTAGCAGATATAAGTAAACATAAGTATTCCCTGCCTTTTCTTTTGTACAAGTAGCAGCACACTGTAATACACAATCACCATCTTGATTTTTTTCATTTAATAATATATCTTTTGTAGCCAGGTAAGGTGGCTCACGCACCTGTAATCCCAGCACTTTGGGAGGCCGATGTGGGCGGGTCACTTGAGGCCAGGAGCTTGAGGCCAGCCTGACCAACATGCGAAATCCCATCTCTACAAAATACACAAAAAGTAAGTGGGCATGGTGGTACCCGCCTGTAATCCCAGCTACTCGGCAGGCTGAGGCACGAGAATTGCTTAAAACTGGAAGGTGAACGTCCCAGTAAGCCAAGATCGTGTCACTGCACTCGGCCTGGGTGACACAGCAAGTCTCTGCCTCAAAAACAAACAAAAACAAAATCTCTTTTGTGACTTTTTTTTCCAATACAGAAAGCATCCTTACTCGTTTTATAGCTTTTATAGTAGTATTCCATCTCAGGAACCACTTAACAAGTCTGGGACACCTGGATTTTTCTTTTTCTATTTTGAACAAACATAATTTTATATGAAATAAAACTTTACAATAAATTCCTAGAAGTGGAATTGCTGAAGTATATATATTTGTAATTTTGACAAATGTTGTCAAATTTCCTCCACAGAAGTTGTGATCATATATATCCCACTTCTAACTGCAGTGAGTGCATAAAGACTGCTTACTTCCCATCATCCTCAAATAGTATGCTATTTAAGCATTTCATTTTGAATTTTGTTGTTGTTGTTGGCATATCTGAAAAGTGAAAAAGCAATATCAACATGTAGAACTAATGTGGCATTTCTCTTATGAGTGAGGTGCTTAAGCATTAAATAAGCATAAGCTTATTTGACTTTCTGTGAAAAGACTTCATAATCTTTGCCTATTTTCTACAGTTACTGGTCTTCTGGCAATTCTTAGCAACTCTTTCACATAGAATATTTACAAAAACTGACCATATACTTCGCTTGAAAGCAAATCTCAACAAGTTGTAACAGAGAATGTTCTGATCACAATTCAACATCCAATTATCACGCTTATGAACTACAAGAGGATCACAAAAGGTATTTATAAACTTCAGTATTTATGATTTTAAAAAAATTTTAATGACAGAAGTAGAACATAAATTCCTTAATGTATTAGTAAGATATCAAAACTCTAGAGGAGGGATGGGCAAATTTTTACTAAAAGCGCCAGATAGTAAATATTTAGGCTTTGAGGACATTAGAGTCTCTGTCAGGACTATTGAAACATGCTGTTGTATCATCAAAGCAGCCATGGACCATATGTAAATGAATAAGCATGGCTGTGTTCCAATAAAATTTTATTTAGGCCAGATGTCAATCCCTGTTATATATCAATAATCATACTGTATGATAAACTGCTCAAAGCATCCCCTTTGCAATTAGAAACAAGACAAGATACCAACTATAACTACTTCTATTCAACATTACACTTGTAATCCTAGCTGAAGAATTAAGACAAAAAATTAAAAATACATTACAGTAGTATAAGTAGATAAATGTGATATTTATAGGCAGAAAATTGAAGATAATATAGAAATTAAAATAAGAGAATTCAGCCGGGCACGGTGGCTCATGCCTGTAATCCTAGCACTTTGGGAGGCCAAGGCGGATTCATCACTTGAAGCCAGAAGTTCAAGATCAGCTTGGCCAACATGGTGAAACCCTGTCTCTACAAAAAAATAAAATAAAATAAGAGAATTCAACTAAGTTGCTAGCTGTAACACCACTATATAAAAATCAACATTTCCATCCCCCAGCAACAAGTAAAAAGTGTTATTAAAAATACCATTTACAGTAGCAATAAAAACTAAAAGGTACTTGGGAATAAATAAGTGTAACAAAAGATGTGAATTATCTTTCTGGAGAAAACACAAAAAGATCTTTTTAAAAAAAACTTTAAAAAGATCAATGAAGTGAAATAACACATTCATAGGTCCTATTTCTTGTGCATATTTTCAATGCGTGTCAAAATGGTATCATCTGCCTCCAAACAAATGTATAAATACAATAAAATTCTAACCAAAATCCCAATATAATTTTGTGTGGAGCTTAACAAGATGGTATTAAAATTTATATGGAAAAACGAAGAACCATATACGGTCAAAACAATTTTTTTTTTAGACGGAGTTTCGCTTTGTCACCCAGGCTGGAGTGCAGTGGCACAATCTGGGATCACTGCAACCACCACCTCCCACGTTCAAGTAATCCTCCTGTTTCAACATTCCAAGTAGCTGAGACTACAGGTCCCCACCACCACACCCAGCTAATGTTTGGATTTTTAGTAGAGATGTGGTTTCACCGTATCAGTCAGGCTGGTCCCAAATTCCTGACCTCAGGTGATGCAGGAACTCCCAAAGTGCTGGGATTACAGGCGTGAGCCACCAGGTCTGGCCAGTCAAAACAATGTTTAAAAAGAACAGAGGTAAGAGGATTTGCCATGGACATTGTCAAAAAATCTCATACCATGACTTTTTATAACAGTTTTATTAAGATATAAATTCTTATACCATACAATTGACCCATTTGACATGTACAATTCAATGGTTTTATTATATTCACAGAACTGTGTAACTACCACTACAATCAATTTTAGAATATTTTCATTACCTCAAAAAGAAATCCCATAGTCACTTAGCTTCCAATACTCCCATCCTCTCCACTCCAAGGCAACCACTAATCAATCTACTTTCTGCCTCTAGAGATTTGCCTGTTTTGGACATTTCATATAAATTGAATCATAATATAAGGTCATTTAACATAACGTTTTCAAGGTTCATTCATGTTGTGGACAACTTAATTTTAAAGTCATTAAGATAGTATAATACTAGCAAGAGGTTGAAACAAATCAAAGGAAAAATTATTTTTATACATATCTATATAAATACAGAAACTGATATGTCATATCAAGTTTGGCTGAACTAAAGAACTATATGAGAGAAGCAAAACCTCACAAATTTAAAAATAACCATGATATTTCATGGCCTCAGGGCAAAATATTTCATATACAGAAACCAAAAACAGTAATCCATAAAGAGAAATTAATAAATTTGACAAATTAAAATAGGCTTTTGTTTGTCAAAAGACACCAAAAACAGAATGGAATGACAGGTCACAATGTGGAAGAAGCTATTTGGAATGTATGCAGCAGACCTAGAATTAATTCCAGATTATATATACAATTTCTACATATCAAAAGAAAAAGACAGACTAACAGGAAAACAAACCAACAAAGGAACATACGAGAGGAAAACAAAGGAGCACAAGATATGAAAATGCTCCATTTGCTACTAATTAAGGAAATGTGAACTAAGGCCACAGTGAGATACCATTACCATCAAATTACTAAAAAATTTAAAAGTCTGACCACAAATGTTGGCAAGGATGTGAAACAAAGAGAACTCATCTGCCGAGGACAGAGTAAACTTGGGAGGAAAATTTGGTATTAGCTACTAAGTTGAAAATGCTCATTCCCTACCAAGCAACATTAGCACTTCCAGGTAATTCCTGGCTAATTTTTTATTTTATGTAGATGGAGTCTCAACACGTTTGCCCAGGCTGGTCTTAAACTGCTGGGCTTAAGTGATCCTCCTGCCTCAGCCTCCCAAAGTACTGAGATTAGAGGTGTGAGAAACTACACCTGGGCACATTTCATAACTCTTTAAACACAACTGAGCAGGGTGGGCACAGTGGCTCACACCTGTAATCCCAGAACTTTGGGATGTTCAAGACCAATCTGGCCAACATTGTGAAACCCCAACTCTACTAAAAATACAAAAAAATTAGCCGGGCATGGTGGCATGCAACTGTAATTCCAGCTACTCAAGAGGCTGAAGCAGGAGAATCACTTGAACCCAGGAGGTGGAGGTTGCAGTGAGCCAACATCATGCCACTGCACTCCAGCACTCCAGCCTGGGCGACAGAGCAAGACTCTGTCTCAAACAAACAAACAAACAAACAAACAAATAAATAAATAAAACAGAGCAAACACTTCAAATTTATGTTAGAAAATAATGTTTTGATTATCGGAAATTTTATAAAAGTTATTCAAAACTGGGCAAAATTAAGATTCTCCATGTTATTATATTCAGAACAGTAAATAAAATAAGGTAAAAAAATCTGGGTATTAACTTCATAAATAATTATTTCTAAAAACACCACAATTAATACATTCCTGAAATAACTGTTTTTCGGGGAGAGTAGTCTATAAACAACAAAATGTGTGCTACAAAAAACTATCAATTCATGTAACTTGTTCATTATTTCCAAACTGTAAGTAAATCTAAATATACGTAGGAGATACTACAGCTATACAGCTTCAAAATACAATGGTAGATCCATGTCAAAATTATATTTTAAGTTATAGTAAATATCTTCTTACTTCTTTAAGGTATTTTTTTGGTTCACATAAAAATATTTTCCAACCAATTCTACTGCTGGGACTATTTAGGCCTCACCCCAGATTTTTCTTATTTATTTTCTACCAATCTCAAACAGTAAAGAATAAAAGTGTTCCACAGCCTGGAAGTTGGCACCAACACTAGAAAATTTTTAATACTTACTGCCCTTTCCCACTTTTGGCGGGGGAAGCGGCAACCCTTAAACATCCATCCAGAACTATTTCTTTTATTAATGTGGTTTGCTACTCTCTGAACCCTCAGCTGTACCACTGCCGTACTTATAACCTCCAGCAAACACAAACTATAACTGATTTTTAATACCAATTTCTATGCAGTAAAGAATAGATCCTTACAAAATTCAAATCCTGACAAATAAGCAAATGGTGCACTATCACCCTATACTGTAACTAAACTTTATCTCCAATGGATAAACCCATTTCACTTACATATGCATTTTGAATTAAACCTAGTGCCTTTATAAAAGAGATTCTAAGAGAGATTAAAAAAAAAAAACCACCTAGAAAGCACATCATCTCTTGAGCTCTGAAAGCAGTGTTTACCCATTACTTTTCAAACTCATAGTATCTTCTGATAAACATAAATATCTCCTGCTTACATTTAACATTGTTATCCAGACATAAACTATTATAATATTGAATATGATTTTTTCCGAATCACAGAGCGTTCCCAGATTCTGATACTTGCCCTGGTTGAGAGCTGCTGTATTTAAGATGAAGATTTAACAACTACCAAAAATAGCAAATTTCTAAATGCTTTCAAAGAACTGTAACTACATATACTGAAAAATATAAATGTGAGATAATATAAAATGAATCAACTTACACATATAACATGTTCGTATCCAAGTCAATGCAAACAACATCTTGTGGTGGGTCATGAAGATCAAAATACCTTGAGTCAACTCCAACTATAAATGGTAAAGGTGCACTAAGCACTGCAGCCAGTGAAAGAGGACAAAGGGGAATATATGGGCATTGCCACTGAAATGGAAAGATCATCTGGGAAAAAAGTTTTAAAAAATTAACCAAATTTTAAATTTGCAATAGAAATTATATAAGTAACTAATATACTAAAGCGGGACCACTGAAAAACAGTTAAGTCTGTTTTGTTTACCTTAAACTTCATTCCAAAACTAAATGACTATAAAATACTAAGCAACACTATGAACAAATGTAATTAAAATTATCAAGCCATGGCAATGATCATAAGCACAGCAGAAATACTAATAGCTCTTTGCACGTTAACTTTTCTAATATCTATACAAAGCCCACATTCCAATTTTATGGAGAGTCAAAATATAATAAAATGACCCAAAATGTCATAAAACAAACTTATGATCTTTAACTCTTACACGTTTCATTCACCTATTAATTCTCAAAATTACCTCAGATCAAAATCCAACTAAAAGCATCAAGGATTAAAAAAAAAAAAAAAAAAAAAAAAACTACTGATTTTTCTGGGAATGCTAATAGCTTATTAAAGATCTCAACAAAAAAATTCCTAACTGTTCAAATAAACATCAGTGATGTTTGACATCTTAAAAAACAGTCAACAGGCTGGCGCAGTGGCTCGCACCTGTAATCTCAACACTTTGGGAGGCCAAGGTGGACAAATCACTTGAGGTCAGGAGTTCAAGACCAGCCTGGCCAACATGGTGAAACCCCGTCTCTACTAAAATAAAAAATTAGTTTTGTTTACACAGGTGAGGAACAAATAAATAAATAAATAAATAAATAAAATAAATTAGCTCGGTGTGGTAGCACACGCCTGTAATCCCAACTACTCATGAGGCTGAGGCAGGAGAATAGGTTTAACCCAGAAGGCGGAGGTTGCAGTGAGCCAAGTTCATGCCACTGCACTCCAGCCTGGGTGACAGAGCAAGATTCCGTCTCCAAAAAAAAAAGAATACAGTCAATATAAAACATTCCTCTGTTCAGACATGATGAGACAGAAAAAGAATAAAAAGAAGAGAAAAAAAAAAAATTCCTCAAGAATCTTTACCTGTTTTCCTTTACAAAACTTTGATCGCATCATTTGTGCTTTTTTTAAAAAAAGACAAGTTTTTGATGTTTTTTAAAAAAGAATAAATAAAGTTAAGGCCAAATGCAGTGACTCCCAACACTCTGGGTGGCTGAAGCAGGAGGACTGCTTGAGGCCAGGAGTTCAAGACCAGCCTGAACAACAGAGTGAGACTCTTATCTCCATAAAAAAAAAATAAATGAACAAATTTTAGGAAAAAAAATTTTAATAATTACCTAGTTACTAAAATTTTACTGATGATAATATTTTTCTTCTACTATAAAAATCCTTGTTATCTTTCAAGGTCTAGTTCAATTCTCACCCTTATCCATCATTACTCAACGCAAAGAAATGCCTATAACACTTACTACCTCTGCCAGCTATTGCAGAGGGTTATTCAGGATTGGAATTTTGTCTTCAAACATTTATTTACTTAATATTTGGGCCCTTGCTATGTACCAATCACTGTTCTACATAATGGGAGCTTAACAATAAATGAAACAGATCACTGTCTTCATGAGATTTACAGTTTAGGATAAAAGTTTAGGATACAGCAACTTTTTCTGTAAAAATCAGTAAATATTTTAGGCCCTGTGAGCCATATTGTCTCTGTCTCAACTACTTAACTCTTCCATCATGCATGAAAGCAGTCACAGGCAAGATATAAATAAATGGCCTATGTTCCAATAAAATCTTATAGAAATCAGTGGAAGGCAGGATTTGACAGGCAGGATCCAGCCATCGTTTGCAAACACCTTGTCTAGCAGGAAGAGAGGAACAAAAAGGAAAAACATAATAAATAAAATATTATGCTATAGGCTGAGCATCCCTAATTTAAAATCCAAAATCCAAAGTGCTCCAAAACCCAAAGCTTTTTGAGGACAAACATGACGCTAAAAAGAAATTGCTCATAGAAGCATTTAGGACTTAGGAGTCTCACATTAGGTATGTTGAACCAGTGTGTATTCTGCAAATATGCCAAAAAAAAAAAAAAAAAAAAAAAAAAAAAAAAATCCTAAATCCAAAGCACTTTTTTCCAAGCATTTTGCATAAAGGATATTCAACCTATATGTCAGGAAGTGACAAGTGCTATGAAAAAAAAAAAGAAAAGGAAAGGAAAGCCAAGTGAAGGACATTAGAGTTCAGAACAGGAGAGAGGAAAAGCAGGTTATATGAGAACAAACAGGACAGGCCTCATTAATAAAGTGACAACAGAGCTAAAACCTGAAGGTGAGAGATTTAACCAAGGGGATATATAGGAGAAGAGTGCTTCAGTGAAAAGGAACAGCTTGGGCAAAGGCCTTAAAGTATGGGGAATGCCTAATGCTCCCAGGACAGTAAGGCCAGAATGCTGGAGAAGAGTGAGCAAGAGGAAGAGTAGTGGAAATTGAGATCAGACTGCTGAGGGACAGAGCCACTCACAAAGGACTCTGCAAGAACTTCAGATTTCCTTGAGTGACAATTATCTTCTATTCAACAAAAGGTATCTAACAAACCTTAGAAAAAAAGCAATGTGTTAGCAAAATATGACATCCTTCTCTTCACCTTTGCCTTTTGCAACACTATAGGGTCACTTTTTATAATGCTCTCGTACGTTTCATCAATCGTTCCTATGGGTCTCCATTAATTCTTTGATATTCTTTGACATTTAAATCATTCTCATCTTGAAGCATTTGTTTTGTCACCATTCTTTTCAATGTTCTCTTCTTCAAATGGTAACTGGCATAACTACCAATCATGACTTATAAATGATTTTGCATGGAATTCAGACAGCTCTCCAACATCAATTACATAAATCTAATATACTCTGGAATTTTTCATAAGAGTACCAATTCCATGTAGCACTTTTTTCAGCTGTTCTTGCACCATATTACTGAAATCCATCAAGAAACTAGGGCACCATGATTCTGACAAAGGGGCTTGAATAAACACTAATGTTTTATTTAGTAAGAAATATTTAGGTGGGAACTTACTTTTTTTTTTTTTTTAAACAGAGTCTTCAGCTCACTGCAACCTCCACCTCCCAGGTTCAAGTGATTCTCTTGCCTCAGCCTCCCGAGTAGCTGGAACTACAGGTGCTCACCACAATGCCCAGCTAATTTTTGTATTTTTAGTAGAGACGAGGTTTCACCATGTTGGCCAGGATGGTCTCAATCTCTTGACCTCATGATCCACCTGCCTCGGCCTCCCAAAGTGCTGGGAATACAGGCATGAGCCATCACCCCCAGCCTGGGTGGGAACTTTCTAAAATGTGTTTACCAAAAAATATTTTCATATTCTAACAACTTTTGCTTTCACATACAACTGTGATGACTTGGAAAAGTAACACTTAATGAGGATCCTCCTTATAAGCTGTTTCTTATGGTTATTATTGTTTTCAGTCCTAACAGTACTTCTCCAACCAGATTAAGATCTTGGAGACATACCCAATACAACAAGTATTTATTAAGGACCTACTCTGTGCTAAACAACTATAACAAGTGGTGAGAATACAGGAGTAAACAAGAGATCAGGTCCTTACTCCTAAGAGACTTACATTCTTAAAATGGGGAAGGGAAGAGAGTAGAGTCAACTATTTTAAATTAAACAATTAATGGGTGATAGGGTTGGAGAAGTGGAACATCTAAAGTTCTATACAATGGCCTATTATTAATGCCCTATATATTCAGACTCCTTTTTTTTTTTTTTTTTTTGACAGAGTTTCGCTCTTGTTGCCTGGGCTGGAGTGCAATGGCACGATCTCAGCTTGATTCTCCTGCCTCATGTCTTCCAAGTAGCTGAGATTGCAGGCATGTGCCACCACACCAAGCTAATTTTGTAATTTTAGTAGAGACAGGGTTTCTCCATGTTGGTCAGGCTGGTCTCAAACTCCCAACCTCAGGTGATCTGCCTGCCTAGGCCTCCCAAAGTGCTAGGATTACAGGCGTGAGCCACCATGTACAGCAATCAAACTTCATTTTAAGTGCAATGGGAAGCCAAAGCGTTTTAAGCAGGGAACAACTTCATTTTTAACAACTTAATTTTTATTTATTATGCTTGACAAAAGAGCTAAAGCCTCTGTATATTATCCTATTTCACAATCACTTACAATTTCCATATATTACTGATTCACAATTATTAAAAGTTAAAATGGGGAGAAATTAACTATGTAATCATTTGCCTAATTTTAGAACAGCTGAAACTGGTCACAGCCTCTCAATACAATCAGCTTCATTCTCAGGCTTTATTATACAAGTATATAGTTTTTACTCTGGGAAGAACTCTAAAATATGAACAATTGGAAATAGACATTTTTCCTCAGATAGAAATAACCTTTGTTTTCTTTATATTTCCTATTTCTCTTTGCCAGTAGATTATGTTCAACTTTTACTGGGCCGGTAATTTTTCAAAGTCGCTTTTTAAACATTTGTTGTTGCTTTCAAAGTTGCTGTTTTTGAAGGAAATTCCCCTTTGGAGTAAAAATTACCTGTCAGTAATTTTGTCCTAAAAGGAAAATTCTATACTTACAGCTACAACCGCTTCAGCAACCCCAGTCAAGACTGCTGGCCTAAGAGAATGCAGCAGAATTTTACTCTCAAGTAAAACAAAGAGCAGCAGTGTTGCACAATTCTCAGGACCCAGATTCATTAGCAAGGTGCTAAAGTTGGCTCCACTGAGAAAAAAAAAGAGAAAAAGAGATCATTGTGAACTATTTTGCTAAAACATGTTAAGATTTGCTTATTAAATTATTTCCTAAGTATTAGCAGATTGAGAGTCTAGAGTTAATTTCAAGTCTTCACTTATTTATCAATGAAAAGTATCAAATTTAATAAGATCATATAACTGGGTCATTTAAACTCATCCTCTAGTGACAAAAGGCATTTATCAAAAAAGATTTCCCTGAATAGCCATTTGAGTTGAGCTTAGAAGAATGGAGATAAAGATGGGAGTAAAGGGGTGACAGACAATATATGCAAGGGCCCTGGAACAAGAATAAACTGTTGTCATAGCCAGTAAGTTGAAATAAATCTATTGTGACTAAAGCATAGTAAGGGAAAGGGTGAAAACAGCAACAGAGTAGGCTGAAATTGAAATGATACTATTATATTTGCATTTTCAAAAGGACACACTGGCTACAGGGTGGATAAAGAACTGAAGAAAGATGAGGAAAAAGGTACCAAATAAGAGCCTAATAGTGAATTAGTCTGGGAAGACATCACGCACACCTAGTGTGATGCAGACGAAAAGAAGTAAATGGATTCAAGATATTTAGAAGGTAAAAATCAGTTCACCTTGAACATTTAGTTATGCACTAGATATGGGAAGGAGAGATGAGAAGAAAAGGGAAGTATCTACTATATGCAATCTTGCAACTCTCTTAACTGTTCCCATTTATAAAATAGCCCCACCATCCATCCAGCTATCAAAGTTAGAAACATTAAGGCTATATGTACCTAGTTTGTAAAATAACAATTAACTTTATTATACTAATCACTAAAATATTTTAAAGCATTCTGCTCCAAGTGAATAAATATATCATTTTAAATAGCAGTAATTACCTTAGTGGTAAAGGTGTAGAAACTGGCTGTGATAATATTAATGCATCATGAACTGACAGCTTAAAAAAAAAAAAAAAGATAAAGGTATATTAACCAAACCAAGAGATAAATTTCCAAACTGCTTTTGAAATCTATATATTTAGATCAAAGGCAACACTGAAAACATTAATAGTTTAATATGCAGACACACTTTTTGAAATGTACTAAAATATAAAATAATAGCAGTATTTACTAAGCAGTATTATATTAGTTCTTTCTCAGAATTTAATTTGACAGAATTTTGATTCACTTAATCAGTTAAGATACAATCATTTAAAATTTATGAAATCATTGCTTTTGAAAACCCTCAAATTCAGTTTTGCTCAACAGCCTGTAGGTACTTAGCAATTGCTTGGCACATTAATACTTGTGGAACTGAAATAACATTTAAGATCAACAATATCTGACTTAATCCTACCATATACAATGTTAAGAATGTCTTAGAAAAACTTTTAAATGGCTTCCCTCTATCAACCAGTGCTACTCAAAGTATGTTAAGTATGCCAGTATGTTAATTCTTACAATCCATAAAGATATAGTATATAAATGAAGAGCAAAATGTTAAGCAACTTTTATGACAATTTGACCTCTCTCCCATATCCAAGCACGTGATCAGTGGAACTACTACTATAGAGAGGGTACAGACCTGTTCATGTTGCATATGTTACAAGCTATATATGCATATGTCACAACCTACGTCTGCTACTTACAGAAAATAAAAGGAAACTGGTCCTTCAGCATAGTACTATTATAGACCTTGTTTAAGTTAACCTCCTCCAACCATTGCTCAAACATGCCCAAACATAATCCTGGGTTTAAAATTAGCTACATAAAGGCCATGCAAGGGCCAAAGATGAAAATGTTATGAACCAAGGATTATAATTATTCCAGTTCTGTACACTCAAATCCAGAATCCAGTAAGAAAGGATGATCAGTAAAACTACAAAGCACAGAAAATCCAAGGACTTCACGAATGCATACTGCTCCACCCCAAACCCAAAGGTATACAAAATCTACTCAGCAATGATGGGAGAGAACATATGCAAAGTTCTCCCCAAATATACTCTTTTTTGCTTACCTGGACAAGGATTCTCGGTCTTTGTGGTGAAGGAAAAGGGATGTTTTGCATAAAATGTGAAATGTGCCTAGAAAAAAATTTGAAATAAATATCATAATTACTTTTCTAAAATGCATCACAGCTTTTAACAAATCTTAAGTCTCACCATATATCATCCCAGATATGACATGGCCATCTATAATATATGCAAAGTAAGCAAATTTGCTTAGTGTAAATGAATGTATCCATGCCCACTAAACTTCTGAAACACACAATGTATTTCCTGACTCAAAGTCTATATTTATATCCCCTATAATTATCAGATAAATAAAAATAACATAAAAATAGTTTTCATGAAAGAAGTGAATTTTTATAGCCCTGGTTATCAGTGCCAGTACAGGGAGCAACTAACTGTGATATAATGAATTTACACTAAAATTGAATTTAATCCCAGATGTACTACTCTAACTTTGGAAGGCCACCTAACCATTCTATTTCTGCACCTATAAAAATTGCTTCTTAAGTTTCTTCAAAGTTTGAAACTCTTAGGAGTCACAAAAATGCAACACATTACTTCAACTGAAAAAAAAAAATTGATTATATACATTGATTGTATTTTCACAAGCTATTCATAGAATCTTAATTTTTCAAAAGGTTGCTAAATTATCACTAACATTAAATTTTACTTCAAAAAACTTTAAATTAGTCTGACAGCTGAAAGTTTAACCCAGAACTATAAATCATTAAATTGCCATTTCAAGAGTACAAAATGAAAGTTGCAACCATATTTCAATATCAAAGTGTGATGAGTTTATGTACAGTACTCTTTTTAAAGCTGATTTTTGGACAGAATTATTTTTAAACCTTCACATAATTATCCCTACCCACTAAACTAGCATGATATTCTTTCTGCTATAATGTAAAAGTTCTGAAATTATAAGAAACATCTATGTTTACACAAACTTTAGTACATTACAGAAAGCTCTTGACACATTTTGGTTTGTTAGCGGTATACATATATTATAAACTAACATAAACAGAAGTGAATGTGCCACTAGAAATCAGAAAAGATGGTTTAAAAAGGAGTAGCTCAACGTACATTTTTCTTGCTTACAAAAGATTTCCATGACAAAATGGACAAACTGAAGAGAAGGCTCAAGGAATTCTGTCAATGCTAAAACCAAAACCTCACTTTT